TATATATATATATATATATATATATATATATATATATATATATATATATATATATATATATATATATATAAAGGTGCCAACAAATGCAAAGTGTGAAGCTCACAGACAGGTGTACACTCAAATAAGGAAGAGTACAGATGGCTCAGATAGCTCACGATTCACCAGGGGCTGTGTATGACACTTTCAGATTGTTTATTCATATTTATTACCTAAAGCCAAGAGACCAGAGGAAAGGGTGCAAAGGGGGAGCTCTCTATAGATGATGGAAAGACACTGCTTTTAAGAAAGCTATCATATGATACCATGGGCTCCCCATAAGAATTCTGAAATGCTTTCAACAGTGCAACCCAATTACTGCCCAGGTCAGAGAACGCCAGCGGTGAGAGATACAGTTTTGGCAGGGCTCCGTTGCAAAGCTCCCCGCTGAGCCATTGCTGTGCATATATGTATCCATTTATTTAAAACAAAAAAGGCCAGATGTTAGGTCAATCACCAGGTCAGGTATCCATGGATATAGGTGGTGTCTGTGACTACATAGACTATTAACCTCCTTAAATACATGTGAAAATTGTGGCAGTCTCTCTGACCTGGAAGATCTCTAAGTCTTTAAAATAAGAGACATTGCAAATAACTTCTGAGGCTGTACCTGATGTACAGTGCTGAATCCTGCAGAATTGGTCAGGCCGTTGGCTCCTTGGTAAATCCCTGATGTTCCTATGAAAAATAATATCACATTTACATGTAACAGATTTCCTAAAATCAATGTAACAGAATATGCTTACATCAACAGTCACACAATGGTAGGAATAATACATTTATCCTACAAAGCAGTATGTGGCAAGTCAAGAAAGCTAGGGAATTGCTTCTAATGCCAAGGTTTGGGCCACTGCTGAATTCAAAGGTAATCGCAAAATCCATTTTAAAAATATGTAATGGAGCCAGGAAGTATGCTGAAGCTGGAAAACTTGGTTGAAAACAAGCTTGCAACATGGGTCCTTGTGAAACATGATTTGTATTTTTCAAGATACATCAGGAAAGAACTTTCCAAATGTCTTCCTAAACTGTGCCTCTAGAGTTTACATCTTTTCATCCACATAAATACCTGCAATTGTACATCCCATCAGTTGTTTGTTGAACAAAGACTTCAGGTGCAAGGCATATACCCTGCAAATATATGTCTTGGTAAACCAAGTATACATGAAGTTTGAAAATTTGGACCTGTATGCCTCTTTTAAGGGTTAGAATTTCGTTGTCAAGGTTTCTGGGCAAGCAGTGACTGGAAGCATTGGCCCTGCTTAGTCCTGGTGTTACTAAGAAGAGGGATGGATGCCTCATATCACTCTTGCATAGTTTCCTCTGGGTGATATTTGCATCTGCTGCTGGGGGGAAGAGCTATTGCATCTGTGTGCAGCGATGGGGGTGGGGGGAAGGGGAGGATTGAGAATTCAGAACGAGGACGGGAGGGGGAATTGGTCGTGGTGCAGAAACAGAATATCCTGAAGCTTCCCATCCCCTAGATTCTGCCCCCTGGAAATGTCTAGACCGTTATTTTAACTGCAGTCTACAAAGTTTCAGCTTCAGGAGCTCCCTCTTCAAATGATTGGAGAACCACATCCTGAAAGCTCTTCTTCCTTCAGTGTGTGTGGTAGGACAATAACTCAGAACCATGTGGTTTGTCCCCTAATTTGTGAAGCAATGCTAGCTCCCAGAGCTGGTCCCAATTCTGCTTGTAAGCTACCCTCCTATCTAACACAGAGACAATCTAAAGACCATATAGTGCTCTATCTTGATGGAAACCGCCAGCCTCCAGAAAGCATTACTTTTTGTGATCCATTATCTCTGTGGCAGCCTCAACTTCATATTAGTAATGAAGGCAGCTGGGATCTGCAAGCTAGATGTTATTTTGTGCCCCTGATCCTTGGCTGGACATCATTTAATCACCCTTTTGTTTTATTAGGCTAGAACCTGAGGACCCTAATTGCAGATACACATAAGAGCGTCATTTTTCTTACTCTGGCTAGTGCCATGTGAATTGCTCTCTCTCTCTAACTGTTAGGATCTTTATGACCAGTGCTGCTCTAACCAGAAGTTGTAAACAAATGCCTCTCAATGTCTTCACGTGGTGTGCCTTCTCCAAAGATTGGCTTGTTTGTTTTTATTTTAAGACCCTAGATTAGCTGAGGAATGGACAGCTGAACAAACTGCAGCCCGCCAAGTGCAGTCACAAAAGCACATGCAGTGAGAAATAAATCTCATGCCAAAAAGAAACAAGGAGGAGGATCTGCATCCAGAACTAATTTGTCGCCACATGTAGCCTTTAAAAGCCTTACAAAAAAAAGTGGGAGGGGGAGGGAGGATGGGCTGATCAAGAGCTAAAGTTTTCTTCCAGTGCAGCCCCCTGTAGAATGCCAGACTCTGCCATTTCTTCATCTGGGGACCATCCCACATTATTTTTACACACACACACACACACACACACACACACACACACACACACACACACACACACACACACACACACACACACACACACACACACACAACACACACACACACGACAC